GATTTTTCGAGCGACACGAAACGCTTCCGTGTTATGGTCACTGTACAAGAATGCACTGTTTTTTAAATAAAAAAACAGTAATAAAAAATGCAAGAATATATACTGTTCGCCTAACTTTGCCTTTTTAAGTTAAAAATAAAAACAAACAAACGAAATGAAAACGGCACTGAGAGTTACGAGGACTGAAATAAGACGGATGGAGAGTACTGTACACCGTACCACTTTAATGTGAACTACGGGAATAATTACTAGCTCTAGCAGACAACCTTGGTAAGAGTTCCCTTTTCTATAGCGATTGTGCAACACATACGCCTTCCAAAGAAAAAGCAAGCCTGTAGCTCTCGCAGTAATCGACGTTTTAGGCGAGACTGAGTATATAAAAATACTTCGTTCTTTTTTTTGTTCGTAAAGTCATTATTAAAATCCTCAGATTAAGCGCCTTTTTAAACTCGAGCCTCGAAGGTTACATACTCTGTTTTTTTACTTAGGCTCAGACAATGATCATACATGAGTTACGAGTAGTCTCTTTCATCAATTGCTCTAGGTACAAGCACAGAGGCGCACTCTAAACTCACTGATCTGCAGATTCGCCGCTAATTGACGTTTTGCAAAAAAAGCTGCTGCGCTTCCGCGAAAAAACGCAAGAGTCCCCTGTCTAGTTGAAAGTAAAGGGGCGTGCCTAAAGCTTACACTCTTCTGGGTTCTTGCGGGGGCAAAAATTCGCACTGTGTGTTACTTTATGTCTCGTAATGCCAGCGCCCTATGTCACCAATCGCCATCAGGAAGGATACTTTGAGGGAAAGGGGAGACCGAGTTGTTTCTCTTTCATTCTGCCAAGCAGTATCCCGCAACGGGAAAAGCTCAATAGAAGCCATGCGAAAAAAAATAAAAAAAAACTCATACGGCTCGCAATGCATGGCAGGGGAACGAGCATTTTCGGAGCAGCAGCGCACATTTTGTAACGGATACGTATTATTTCGTAAGCATGTGACGAGCCATTCATGCACCGATAAAGTGTAACTCCTGTATATTTTTTTGTATTTAGGGCTATGACTGCTTTAAGCGAAGGAAGTGGGCCTGAAACACGAGGTGACATTTCTTTTCAATAATTTATGCAGTCCTGTAGATATGGCCGCATGCGAATCACTGATTTGGCAGCACGTTCCGCTGGCTGGGGTTGGATGGCCCCCAGAGTTCGTCCATTTTATCTCTTTATTGTTTGCATGACTGGAATGTTCCAGATGACTCGACAGCCCCGTTGTTTGCCTTTGCAGCAGCGAGGACCCGAATCTCACATGTTTGCTCGGGAGAAGTGTATTTTGGCGTCTCGCCGCAGCGGGGCGCCTGTCGCCTGACTCTCCTCTCTTCCATTGTCTGCCGCTCCACTTTTTCTATATCGGCGGCCGCTCCTCGTGGCGATCTGCCAGGCTTTGTCAGTATATAGGAGGCTATGCCGAAACTTATTACAGTGACGGTTCTTGCTTTGTCATTGCTATTTTTGTAGTCTTCGCGGCTAACGGCGCAATCTCATTGGTTGTGAAGCAATGACACCATGCTCGAGCTTCGTCACGCTTGCGTTTCTTAAGCCGTAAGTTATTATAGCTAACGTAACAGCACTAGCACTTCTGTCTTTCTGCCCATTTTAAATTGTAATTAAGCCCGGGTTACCGCGTACAGTATTTGCGATCTAGAAATGAATCTAATATCTCGATAACTGTATGTTAATTCCTCCAATGACGTCGATCATGTGGCAGACAACATAGCCCTGTAGCCTCTTGTACCTGCTGCTAACGCAGACAAAGCTTTCTCGAGTACGAGCTTGAGGAATCTCGCTTCTCTTACTACAGGGGTGTGAATCGTGAATAAAAGAAGAAAATGCGCAGAAAATATGGGAGGAAAAAAATGATAGAGAGAGGGAGTGTTAACTAGTTCGAAGTAAGGTGGTACTAAGCAAAGCAGGGGCCCAGTGATTTTTGTGGGTCAATTTTTAAACTTGTGGATAGTTTCCTGAAAAAAAAAAGTACCAAAACCGTTTCGAAACAAACACGTAAGAACGTGGTAGATATTTCTAACTGATTGTCCTGAAGAATGAAGAGGCGGTGATATAAAATATTTTAAATAGTTAACCAAAAATAAATAAAGTTAAAGAAAAGCGGGGACGTGAGAGAAGAAACTGATAATAATTGAAAAAAAAAAAAAACTGTACTACCTTTTATTTTTGTTTGTTTCTCAGAAACGCCTGCAAGTACGGCGAGGAAGTGTTGGGGAGGGAAGCTGGAATTTTTCTCGGTCTCACGTTTGAACGTGAACATTGAAAACGAAGTAAAATGCAAAACCAAAAGAATAGTAAGAAAGGGATATAAATTCTGGATAACGTCTTGTAATTATATGCATCGCGAATGGGAATGCGGCAACGCAGTGTTTAATTGCCAGAGGTAAATGGTATACGGAACAAAACACCTTAATGGTATACAGAAAAAATGCGCTCATTTACGTATGAGCAGGCGCCGCTCCGAGTTTACTTCGAAGTTGCCAAAATAAACCGCAGTAATTGTTAATCTACTTTATGTCCGTAATCAGAACGAATTACCTCATAAAAAAATAGAAAGGACGTTGTTTTTTTTGTTTTTTTTTTTTTTTTTTGTTCTTTTTTAGTGGTTTAGTTTTCAACCACTATTATTTCGGTTTGTCTTTTCCAGAGAAACCAAGAGACGTAGAAAAGTGTATTGACTTCTCTGCATTCCATCATATTTTATCTGAAGTTCAAAGTGGGCGTAAAGTATGCGCGTTTCATTTTTATAGCGTTTTTGTCTTACATTTCTTGTTATTTTGATTGTGTCGTACCGAGTCTCTAAGAGGATGCAGTTAACTGGGGCTCTACGTTAATTTTTGAGCAAATAGCTCTTACACAGATTTCAATACGTTACTTCTTAATGTTGCAACCACCCCAACATGTAAATTTGCCGAAGGGAACGGAAAAGTAAAGTTAAAACCCCTTTCTAACGGGCACTTCAATTAGAGTTTTGTCAAAGGCCTTCGTGCGAACGGCGAATCAGCTCGCGATCCTGATTCTGCGCGTGCCTCTCGAAATGCGCTGATTAGCCCATTATTCGAAAGACTTCAATCTGAAGGCCTTCGAAATATACGTGGAAGATTTGTATAACGTATTATTGTCTGACTGACTACGGGAAACAATTATTTTACTCGAATAAATCTGCTCACTAGTTATGGCAGCAGAAACAAAAAAAATAGGGTGCTTAGCACAAACCTTGCGCGATATCCGCTTGAGGTTACGAATTCAGTACTCGTGGCACTTCTCCAATATTTTTTCTGAGTGTGGTAACATAAACGGCAAGAGAGCCATTCAATTAGCAACGTCAGAACCAAAGATGCTTCTCCACGCACATATTTCTAGTGCGGCGAAACAAGTTTTTCGGCCCAACCGGCTTTGTAAGCTTCTATGGTTTTAAAAAGCGCAAAGAAAGTGGCCAACAAGACCGGCCATGCCTCAAAAAAGCTCGTTATGAGGTAACTGCATCTAGTTGAATACCGTCTTAAAAAAGAAATAAGACACGCAACGCAATATATACGTGATGTTACCCTCCCGCTCAACCTATGGCAGTGCTTCTTTTCAAACTGTCTTCAACAAGATGCGACTATAGGGAGTATGGACTGGCGGCCATAGATGAGCTCGCTGCTGCTTTCTTCCCACCGGGGAAGAGAGGGGAAAGATGCTTTTGTACGACTTTTGAGGGGAAAGTTAATTGTCTATAATCTTCTAGAGGGAGAATAACGACGTTTGGGGAAGCCTGGGACCTACAAAGGAGAGTCGCGGTGATAAGAGAATTTCTGCTTCTCTTTTCATGCGGTTGCCCAACACCTGACGGGAAACTCTTCTCGGGTATGCTCTGTGAGCAGTTACCTCAAATATGGCGTCCAATGAATACCCCCTATAGTTTTGTTTTAAGGAGGCGGGCCCGAAAATCAAAGCAAAGTGGAAGGTCTAACTAAGCACCTTAACATGATTAATAATATAACAATAATTGATCATGTTGATTTTATTTTTCATCGAACATTCCTAAATTCTTGAATGACTAATTTGTATCCTTGAATATTACGAGCAGTTCGTGTCATTGAAAGTGTCATTTTAACGACAGCCCCTTAACGCATTGTTAGTTGGTTGGGGACACGGCGCCTACATTTCAATACGGCTCTGTCTAATAGTAAAGACCTTTCTTTTTGCGCTCGATTGCATTACATTTATTTTAAGAACGCTGCCCGCATAAGCAAGAGACTTACACAAGAACGACTGATATTTACACCAGTTGGTTTACGCCTCAACCACTTTCTTTATTAACCAAACGCTTCATGTTTTTCACATCAACTATCGACGGAACAGGCAAACGCGTGCGTGCAAAGACACAGATTCCAACAGGCGTCCAGGAAATGCACGGTACGCATCTTATTCTGCTCGAGCATTACTTACCCAAACTTATAAGCAAACACGAGCGCGATTCATGTTCCATTCCCGATTTTGATGTTAAACAGCCTCAAATTCAACTCAGTTGCTACCAAGACGACGGAACCGAGAGTATACTGGCGTTCCGATAGGTGAGCGCAAGAATTAAAAACCACGATACCCCTAGACGACAGAGTTCCTATAGTCGAATCTCGACTAAGGCCTAAATACGGTCACTTTACCTTGGAAATGTCTCGGAGTTTAGAATATATGTATAAGAGCGGGCGTCACTATTGTCACGACTCCAAGCAGGTTTGGGACTGGCCTTTGTAACATGCGCTATCAGCGCAAACTTGACGCCTTCCATTGTGAAGAGCGTGATTTCTGAGGAATGTTTGAATCTCCCATGCAGCCGAACTGACAGATAATATATGTGGGTTGTCACCCTCCGGATGGGGGCCGTCGGAAGGGGCCCGTACGACTTTTTTTTTTAACTTTCGGAGATTGAAGTTTTCTTCGAACAACGCTGAAGTGTGCTCACCTTTTGCGTCCCCTTGAACCAACGCACGGTGGGCAGCGGATTCCCGCCGTTGGTGACGCAGGTGATGTGCTGGAGCGTCTTGGCACGGATCGGCGTGCCCTCGGTGTATCCGAAAATGCGAGGGGCGTCTGGAGCATCTGCGCGGAGGGCACAACCCGTCGGTGGTGCGCGATGGTCTCGGAATCGGAGAAGTTAACTTTTATTTACACGTGCGTGGATGAACATACAGCAAGAATCAGGTCTGTTTCGGGTTGCGGGAAGTTAACTGCAACGTCCAGAGTCGTTCAAAACTTAAAGTGGTTGACAAGTGACCCTATTGCAAGTTATTGATATACTTTTTTTTTTTAGGACGAAGCAGCGTGGTTAAATATCTTGAACCCTCTTTTTTCGGGATTTGTTCATCGAAGTTATTATCTTCTAAGCCAGCTATCTTACTGGGTGCGTATTGATAATAAGATGCTGAGAACTTCTGACCCCCGCATTTAAAACTTTGTTATTAACTATAGGGTGTTAAAGTCGTTTAAAGCCGAAGTTTGGTTTTCGAGTGACATGTATTAAAATTAACCGTAAAAAATCAAAATGCGTTACATTTTTTTTTTTTTTTTTTGTGAACGTTTGAAGGATTTTTTTACGCAGCTAAAAAATGGAACGACACGAAATGTGAGAATTCCTGCGTGCGATTTTGACTTAATCCCTGGGACTAAGGTGTAGGCGTTGAGTACGTAATGTTTCTTACACAGTATGCTGACCGCAGCAGTTTCCACGACGGTGTCTCCAAGTGCCTGGTTCACGGCGTAGCACGAAAACATCTTCATGTTCCTTTCCTGTAAATAAAAAAAACGAAAAAGACGGGATGAAACTTTGTTATTTCTTATTCTTTCATAACAGGCTCCTTGAGGAGTAAATAAATCACAATGAACAGCGTTGCTGTGTAACCCTTACTATGTGCTTAAGATGTTAGAAAGTCACTTTATATCCGAGAGCCTCACAGGTGATTATTTTAAACAACCGCGGGGTATTGAACGAATAAGACGACATAGTGCACGTCATGAAAAAATTTCTAATCAGAGTCTTTCTACGTAATCTAGGGTGAAAAAGAAAGGAATTTGAACTAGCCATAACTGTTTAAAAAAGGCGCTGGGCAAAGAAAAAAAATGAAAGATGTTCACAAAACTCAGTAACGTCAAATTAGAGCGCAGCTCTTGAGCAAGTGGTGGGGAGGGCACGGAGGGAAAGGTATGACGTTCTTTTTCCCTTGTGCAATTCAGATTGGTATTGAGGTCACGTGACATCAGTTTTCCCGCCAAATATAGTGGAGAAACGGAATTTGTTCATGGATGACGCGACATGAAGTCATGTGACGTCGTTTTTTCCGCTAAATTTACCGGGAAAATTAACGTCATGTGACCTCAATACCAAATCGATATCCTGCTTAATTTAGCGTGGAAACTGACGTCATGTGACCTAAACACCAATTCAATTTCTCTCTAGCTTTAGCGAGGCAGTTACGCTAACGCCGACGCCTCTGCGCTCTAAAAAAAACTGGGCAGCACACCAATTTATATACAGGTTGTTATATACAGGTCCTCACTCGCTTTAAACAAATTTTTTTTAAGCGAGTGGGGATGAGACGGGGCGCCGTCTTTAACATGCATTTATCAGGCTCTCCGGACATTAGTTGAGGGAATAATCGTCATAATAATTTGGCTAATCAATTCAAATCTGGTATTTAACAAATTAATTACCGCTTTTATGGGTTACGTTGCAATTGCAGTATGTCCGCACTTACTATTAGGGCCCGCACGAATTTAAACCATTGCAAAAATGTTATCGTTTCTAAGAGAATAATTTGATCAGTTTTCACGTTTTAGGCCGATTTCAAAATTGGCGCGAGAAAGAGCGCCGCAAGCCCTGCCCAAAATGACGCTTAGAAGAGTGACGTAGTCGTTTCAGCGACGTCGTCACTTGCGTTTCCGGTGCACACCACCAAGGACACCCTACAGAAATTGTGACGACATGATTGAAGCCATCACGTCGCTCCTCCAAGTTCCAGTGTGCGCAGGACTTTCGGCATTCTTCCTGCGCGTTATCTCAAAATGACGCTAAGAAACGTTAAAGTGTATAAACAAATTTCTCGAAAACTCTTACATTTTCCCGAATGCTGTTAACTGTCCTGGCCTCTAATACTAATTACCGCCATTAATGAATTTGCAACATGATAGCTCGAAACAATAATTGAACATTAATTAATTAACCAACGTATCATGGCGGTTATTTCCAGATCTAATTTCTGCCGACACTGATAACTATATGGGAAAGACGGCACTCGTCAAACTCTCACCTAGATAAAAAAAAATATGTTCGAAGTATAACTGCATATTTTGTAATTACGGCTGTACTCAATGCAATTTTCGGAAAGTGAGTGTGAACATGATCGTTATGTAATGCTGTGACACAAACTGCGCGCATATGACAACGTTTTGAGAACTATTGCTTTTAGCGGCAAGCTAACTCACTCACTTTCGAAAGCATTTTTGCTTTTCTATTGTGGCTTCTCGTCGTATTTGTTGAAACGCATCTTTGCTGTAAAGGACGGGCGAGGTTTCTCGCAGCGCTGCAAGCTGAAATCATCGACAATAATAAATAATGCGGAACGCAATAGCCGAGTATGCGACTTAGACAAATTTCTCGAGCGCAGCCTTAAAAAATAAAACTTAAAGATTTCCCCAGTCTGCTATTTTAAACGAGTGACGCTTCAGTGATGTTTCCGTGATGGCAAATGTCTCGTTTTCCGTCACGTTGACGGCTCGTTTATACTAGATCGATGGTGAAACACTGTGTTGGGCAAAATGAGCGAGCACAGAGTAATCTCTGATTTTTCTCCTAAACATTTTTTGCGTTCGCGGGCGCTTTTTTTTTTTTTTTCTTAACTAAGCTGTCTTCCTTTTCGTGCTTTCTTTAGCTCCACTGTCTTCCATTTGTACACGACACTACTTACTGTTCCAAGCTTGCAATGTGCAGAGTTTGCGAGAGGGACCTATTTAACTGTTGCAACTGGTTTCAGTGGTGTCATTTTTTTCTAAAACGATGGAATGTTCACGTGGGTAACAATAATAATATTCTGATATTGCATTTCAACTAGCTTCCGAAATGTAACAAGTAATAAACTCATAAAAAGACTAGCTGCGTAGAAAACGATAATTAATTTTGAGCGATAAAGAAAGTGGCCCTGAATATTACGTTACCGTTTTCTTTTGAAACGTTTTCACGTTTCACATTCAACTGGAAAGGATATCGACCTCTGAATTGCATGTATCTGATATCTCCAAAAAGCTATAAACAACGCGTTGTATTGACACTTCAGATGTACAATCGCTTATTATTTTCTAACCTCCGCTTCCCAGTACTCCTGCTCGTAAAGACAAGCATCTTCGGAGCCCGTGGGGGAAAAAAAATAATATCTTCCTTCCATTGCCGCACAGAGACGTGTCCCGCTCGAATCGCACCTTACAAACTCCAATTATCACGAGAACGTCGTCCTTAACACTGGATCCGACTGTCAGAAAACTCGTTAGCGAGGGCGACGAACAAGGGCGGTAAGAAAAAGAAACACCGACATCCCAGTTTTGTGGAGCTTGATCAGACTCGCGTCACCCTCACGGACACGCCATCGTTATTTCATTGCCGGAGTGCGCGTATCAAGATTTCCAATCGCTTTAAGAACCCGAGCCCCGTTTCGTCCCAAAATCGACGCCGCCATCCTTAACTTAGCGGTAACGACTCAGGCAATAGCGAGCGAGCCTTTGAAAAGACAATTCCGTTTCTTTTCACAATAACTTTTTTTTTTTACTTAAGCACCGCCGCATTATTAAGAGCCGTCGCCGCTTCGGTCGCGTTTCGTGCTCCTGCTTACAGCGGCAAAACAAGGCGCGGAGGAAGCATAGACGGGAGTCGGGGAAAAAGACAGCAAATCCTGTCGCCGTGCCGTTTGTTCCGCATTTTTACGCTTTCCTCTTGCCATTTGCCGACGCATTTTTATCTCTCGTTGCCAGCTATGGCGCAGACGCGTGCGCTCGCACACTGATGAGATTTTAATGGGACGCAAAAGCGGAGAGATATAAAAATGCAAAAAAAAAAAATCGGAATCGAGGAGATGCAGCCTTCATGCGCGCTTTGATCGCCATGCTTTGTCGTTGTTGTTTATTTCCGCTGACTTTTGTCTTCCGCCTTCATCGACCTTCTTTTTGACATTTTTTCGCGAGAGGTAGAAAAGTAGGGGGGGGGGGGGAGGGGGAGGCACTTGTTTTCGAAGATTCTTTTGAAGAGAGACGTCAATACCGAACCCTAGAACCGAGTAAGGGGACGATTATCCGAAACGGGAAGAAGTATTATCGCGAATGAAAACACGACAATAAAAAAGAATAAAACACTGAGTTTATTTTTTATATATATATTTGCTTCTTAAGCTGAACGGAAAAGAGTGGTGAAAAGAGGGCGATATATATTGTGAATAGGAGAGTGGCAAAAGTGGTTCATTTTACCTCATCTCATCACGGATATTTCTTCGCTTCAATTTTGTCTCGTCGCGTCTCATCATCCCACGCCGGTATTTAAAAAAAAGAAGGAAAAATAAATCAGGGGAGAAACTCAAAAGGAAAAGAAAGGAACGTCTGCCTGCCGTTCCCTTTTCCGTGAAGAGTGCACCTTACATTATCGGCACCTTATTTTTTTTAGTATTCTATTCGGACAGAATACCTTCTCCTTGATCTTTGACTCTTCCCCATAGGTCCATTTTCTGCCTCCTATTCGAATACCCGGCAGTGAGTGGCAAGCCTCACTGGAACTGCGTGTCTTAGCCGTTTAGTCTGCATATGATTTTTTTTTCTTCGGCAGCTTAATTGAATAAATATAAATATCCAATGGTAAAATTTTGAGCGATTCTCTTCGTTGTAGCACGGGTAGGGAAAGCTGCAATATACGCCACCAGCGCCGACTCCTAGTCCTCGCTTCTGCGCACACTATTTATGACATATATTGCCGCAGGTTCGGAGACCTGCGGGCTTGTCTGTCATGAGGCTAAAGTAACGCGATAAGTGTAGCTTACTGGTCTGCGGACCTCCCTCGCGAGATATGTACGCTGTGGGAATGCACTTTGAAAAGTGTCACATTACCTGCCCCTGAAGGGCACGCTCGTCGCCGTCGAAGAAGAGTCGTGGACTGGCTCACCTGTCCGGTGATGTTGACGGTGATGTTGGAGGTGGTGACCCAGCCGCCCTTGGGGTCGGCGGTGATGGTGGACACGGACTCGAACGGGCGTCCGTCCACCACCCAGGACACCTCGGCCGGAGGGTTGCTCCGTTCGGTGCTGCAGCGCATGGTGATCTGGTCGCCCGCTTTCGCCTCCTTTGGGCCCCTCACCTTCACCTTGCTGGGCGCGACTGCACAGGGAACAGAGAAATCGGCGGAGCTGATTTTAGTTTCCGGGCTTCGGTAGGCAACCCGGGGATTGGAAAGAGGCTGCTCAGAGTGTAAGACAAAAGTACGCCTCATGATATACCTATTCGTCGACATTAGCAATCTCCGCAATATTAAATATACAACAAATACACCCGTTTTGCAGGAATCTAAAAGCCTTTCACAACGCAAAGCAGCTAGCAATTTGGCTCTGTATATGTCCAGTGCATGAGCCGCATTTAAATACCGTCACCGAAGGGATAGCAAAACTTAATGACAAAAAACTGGGAATTGCATTGTTGAAAACGCCAACCATTCCGATATCCACAACTTCCTCATCAAGCTTTCTGAAGGAGATATTAAAAGAAGGCGTAGGCCTTTATTGTTCATATCACGCTGCGACGATGAAGTTTCTTGGTTTGTGGCGTTTCCTATGAGTATACTTGGGTCCCACAAGTGCCGGTAAGCTTGGGTAAAGTGAGAACGATTCCTACCCCCCCCCCCCCCCCCCCACGCAGCAACTTCCAGCTGTCCAGCTCCAAGGAAGGGTATTGTATTAACCTTGAGTTAATACAATACCCTTGTACCTTGAGTTAATACAATACAATACTGTTGAGTTAAAGATGAAGGATCCTGCTTCTATTTAGCACTTGGCTGACTCGTCTGACGACGTTCTATATACGCACACTGCTTTACTTCAAGTTAAACGCAACATATTGAACCTAAGATTATGAAATGGGTTTCTTCCAATATCAAAGTTAAAGATGAAGTTGTAGTAACGTTGTTTGCGTGTTTAGGACGGCGTGAAGCTAGCTAGCCCAAATGGGCTTCTGATGTCTTCACGGTATATGAGAAATATACGCAGTGCAGTGCGACTGCTAGCCCGGGTCTTTGACCTTCATCACTCTGCAGAGATAGACGACCGTACGCCGGTACGCCAGGTCCATGCTTAAGCAGATCAAAATGGGTAGCGAAGGCGATTGAATCCAGGATCCCCGAGTCCTGGAGCGCGAGCTTTCGCTCCACGTACCCCGAGCTGCGCTGCGTTAAGAAACTCGGACAGCCATCCCCAATGAAGTTGTGTTCACTTCATTTACAACCAAACAACGCGTCCCGCTACCGCCTGTTGCAGAAGGGCTACATATGGCATTCTCGAGACGCACTGGAGTGGATATGCAGCTTCACGTTGACCGCATAGATAGCGCCTTGTGCGCGCAACCTGTTTCTTGCGTCCTTCTTTTTCATAGCACTATTTTGCGCGTTTTATTTTTATGCATCGACTAACCTCATTTAATGCCGTGTTGCGTTTTCATAAGCAGAATTTATCTATCCCCTAACTGCAGAGCACAATCACAGGAATCTAAATAGAATGTTGAACGGCAATAAATTTTATGTTCGTTCAGTCGGCGGTCAAACCTGCAGCGGGGATGTTGACATAAAAAAGTCCTGAGCACACGAATTGTCAACTATATCTAATATTAGGAATGTTGTGCGCAAAATATTGCATCAAAACCCCTCGATAACTGATAGCTCGGAATTTTATTTTTTTTCACGGATGAAGATTTTGAGAATCTCTGCATTAATATTGGTCGCAAATTTAATCGATCCGTTTTGAAATTCTCCACTGAAAGTGCTAGGCGCTCAACCTTTTTATCTTTTGGTATCTGCTATAAAAGAGAGTGCTTGTTATGATAAAAACGAGCCTCCTGAATTCGCCTAAACCTTAATGGACTTCTTTCAAAACACCACTTAGGTAAAATTAAAAAGTAGAACGCAGAGATCACGCTTCGACCGCGCTAGGCAGACTCTGTACTTGCTCACTATGCGCGTACAACGAGATGTGCGCCTTGCTAAATCGGCTTATTTCTACAGACCTGCTCCGACCGGAAGATTCGCCCGTTCTCTATAAAGAGAACGCACATATTATTCACTGCGTTGGCCCCCGGAGCGGTCAACGACTGCTTCTCCTGAGTAAATTCTAACGTGGTTATGTCGACATAACTAAATTTTCCACGTTCAGCACGTGCCGCCTTTCCCACGCAAAAATTGGTTCCTAAACGAGAGTCGTTAACTGCCTCCTCAAATAGCAACCAGGGACGTTACCCGGCGAAACGCGTTTGTTCAACGCTGCAAGCGGTTGTTTTAGAATAAAGGTAGACGCCAGGGAACGCGAGAGTTTCAGCATTACTCTTGCAGGTCTCGCGAAGAAAGTTCAGCGACCGCACACCCCTGCTGCTTGATTCGCTCGTATTCCAACGGTATCACTTAAACTAAGCCATTAGGTAGCTAAATCGACGTTCTCGTTACTAATGACAACGTCGTTCGCAGCAATCTTTTAATTGTGGAAACAATTCAACGCTTTAACTAAACGTGTTTTCCCACCAAGCAATCTACCGAACCCCCAAATCTCTTGCAGGGTCCCTATTTTAGTTTTAAACTGTCGATCTGGGCGCCAAATTACGATTAAGCAGAAAAACCTCAGAACAGCTGCCTGTGCATCCCTTGCAAAAAGTATCAAAGAGTTTAAATTGAGTTTCTTGTGTATTCTTGTAGAACACATTAGAAACTGAATTTAAACTCTTTGGTTATTTTAGCAAAGGAATTTCCTCCCTCCGTTGCTGAAGCTCCAACTGCGAGCGCATTGACTCGACAACGTGTTTCCGGATGATGATATCGAGTTGCATGATAGGAGTCGGCCAATTTCCCCGAACGGTCGACGCAAGTATGATATTTCTCCATGCGGCACAGTACTTTCGTTCGCAAAGCCGCAAAAAACTGTCACACTGCAAAAAAAAAAAAAAAAAAAAAAAAAAACTTATTCTAGTAAGACGAGCTGGTGATAAAGGCTTATTAGTGCATGAACGAAGACGAGCAGTTGGCGTGTGCTTCCTATTGGAATGTGGGAGTCTGCGTACTCGAATGCAAAAACCACCTCCCCCCCCCCCCCCCCACTTCCGGCTTCAATTTAGCCAGACAGGACGAAATAGTATAAAGGGCTGCCACGACGTTACTGATAAAATGTTCAAGCTCGCAGCGATTTAATAGAACGTAGTGATTGGTATAGTTAAATTTCGTGTCATAATGTTGAAAGATCACAAGCGAGACTGTTCGAACTAAGAGAGATGAAGGCTGCCGCTCGTCGTTCTATCTCCTGTCCATAAACCTAAAAAACACTGAAGGCCGAAGACGTCGAATTGGGCACCGAAGTGCCCGCTTCAATATAGTAGGTCGAAAACGTTCCGCTAATACTTAATGCAGCCCAGAGCTGCGCAGGAACTAATGGCTTCTGCAGCAGGGTGTACGATGTTAAAGTTGTTGCCTATCCGCCGTTGACGTACACCGCAGGAAAAGATTGGCCAAGAATCAGTTTTGTATATAAAATGACAGCCGTAACAGTATTTAAAAAAATGTACTGAATACTGGGAAGTTGAATACACAGGTAAGCTGGCCGTCTCGCTCCATGATCCGCTCGTGACTAGAAAAACTAAAACCACCATTCGTAGAACCCAGATACGTGTTAAGAAAGAATTTTGTGAGTGGGGCAGTTACGACGCTTTAAGTTGTTGTTTCAGACAGACATTTAATATAATTAGATGGGAGCGGAGGGGGAGGGGGGTAGGAGTTTCGATTTCATTAGAGTAGTAATACTGACGTAAGTTCACTTCTGTCGTTAAAAAGCTTAATTGAAATACCCCGAGCCGTTTAAAATGCAGACTCTCCTCCTAGAATAAAAGATAAAGTAATATTTATTTAATTCTGACTAAAACAGCCAAGAGATAATTTTCATTTAGATTACATTTAATGGCTCCAATGTAAATGGGTAATTTGTTCAGTGAAGGATTACTCTTGGCCTGATCCGTCCACCGCGTGACGGGATGTTGCTCATCGATACCAAACTGGAGATGCAGGGCTGGGGACCGAGCGAAAAAATAACCCCATCTATACTCCGTTCACTCATACACTGAGACAGCAGGCAATATCACAAGCACGAGAGCTCAAGGTCGCTACTTTGAAAACTTCTTCCGGAGAACGAACACTCGCGCTATAAATGCATGTCTCAACGGCTGCAGCGCCGACTAGCTGGCCCTTGTAGATTTGGATGCAGTCTCAGCATACTATCGTGAATGCAACACGCCCCACGTGCACTCTGCTAGCATACTTAGATATTAGTATACATTGAAAGTAGGCATTAAAAGCAGGCGTCCTCATGAAAGAGCCGATATATAGTTCTAGTTTGTACGAGTCTTGGGTGAAGTCTTCTGAAACACCGTATACGTCTTCCATTATAACGAACATTCCACTTCTAAGGCAAGAGCACGGAAAGCGATTGCCTCAGAATAGAGGAGCTCTCTAGCAAACCGTTCGTTTGCATGACACGGTGCTAAAGGACCTTTCATAGATTGTTTGCCAGAGCTTTTCGTTTCTAGAGGGGAACTAGTAGGAACTCGAGATATCACATTGAGCGCGAATAAAGAATGGGCGCACAGAGCCCGCAATTCGAACCTTACGATGTACAAAGAGTCGCTATGATAAAAGCTTCTCTTCGAAGAATGCCCCGATGTGGGGATGCATGCAACCATTGCCTTGCAACGGTACTGATTACGTTTTACTACACTGCGGTAATCTTACAGTGGGATACGACTGCGGGTAACTCCGGCAACAAAGCCACACAAAGATCAATTTACACGGTATCTCGCAGCCGTATTTCGACGAATGCCTACGGAACGTAGCCTAACGCATTCGACCGAAGCAGGTTAAATGGACACCTAAACTTCTTTTCTCCAGAAGCGAGAGCCTAGTAAAAAAATAGACGGCAGACAAAGACCCGTGCAGACTTCAAGCGCCAAGTTACGGACCAGTCGTTGCACGTCATCGGTTTAGCATGTAATAAAGGGCGCAGAAAGACGACGAACGCATTGGCTGAAAGAAGGTTGAGGGCGGAGGTAAGCTGTTGAATACTAGACAACATAATAAATCCGGAGACACGGAAACAAAGATGGGTTGCGTACGCCCTCCTTGTTTACAAGTTTCCGGATTACTGATATGCCGAATGCATTGACGTTGTGCTTTTATGCGGCTTGATTGAACCCATCGACTGAGCCTCGGTTACGCTCTGACTTAAGGGGAAAGGAAGCGTAGACTCGAGCCGCGAGCGGCGAGCCTCGGAAGGCGGGAACCCCACTCACACTGCACGGTGAGGCGCACGGCGGCGCTGACGGGCTCCGGCGACACGACGTTGGTGGCCACGCATCGGTAAACGGCGTTGTTGTCCGACGAGTTGGCCACGAAGGTGAGCGTGTTGACGGACTCCCTTCCGCTGGTCGTGTACGAGCTGTCCACGCTGCGCTCCTCCTGGTTCCGGTACCAGACCAGCTGGGCCAGGGGGTTGCCGCCGCGCGAGATGCAGCGGAGCGTCGTCGTGTCGCCCATCCGGATCGTCTCGCCCTCCGTGTAGCCGTGAATCTCGGGGGGGCCCGGGGCGACTGCGAGAGCACATTCTCGCTTACTGTCTTTTCTGCTCCCTTTTTACTCCGTCATTCAAACCTCGCTTTATCCCTCGTTTACTCCCTTATTCACTCTCTCCTCGCTTACTCTCTTGTTTACTTTCTTTTTACTCCATTTGTATTTTCTTGTTTATTCTTTCGTTTACTCCCCCTTTTACTCCCTCCTTTACTCTACCGTTTATTTCCTCGCCCTTCCATGATATCTACGGAGAGAGGAAGAAATTCTAGATTATGGTACATTGGAGAAACGAAAGGCCAGAAATGAACGAATTAATTAAAACTTTATGTTGCGTTTTTTTCCCCGATCTAATGCTATGGAAGGGACATAAATCAAACAGAATAAGAGAACGGGGCACTAGAAGGCTTTAGAAGATTAGTGTGGCGCCGACGATCGTTAAACATTAAATTCATCAGGTTAATTATTGCTCTTGAAGAGACACGATAAGCACGACGCCGAGTTCAGGCCTATTCACACATGCAGCGGAGCACTACAAGCATGGCGCTGACCTCGCGCTAAGCGCCTGCTCAAGGGGGCGTTTATTTACTTATTTCGGTACCTTCAAAGACCAGGGGGCGTTACAGAAGAGAGTGGTGGAAACACAAGGAACAAACAACAGGTAGTTAATTCAGAAATTTAACAGAGAATGAAAAATGCAGACACCGCAGGTTATTAAGAAAGTAGATAACACTCAATGGGGCGGATCTGAAAGGGAAATCGTCGGTAGTCGTTGCGATGGAGGCGGGAAGGTGTTCCATTCGTTACTAGTCCTTGGGATAAATGAATCGAAAAACAAGTTATTGGGACACTCTGGCACGCCTACTTTGTTATGGTGGTCCGAACAAGATGAGACGTATGATGGCTCTGGAAAAAGTTCGGTTTTGAGGTGCGGGTTATAATGATATATTTTATGAAATAGCGGGAGTCACGATATTTTTCTGCGTTTAACAGCTTTGTATCGCACCGTCCAAACTGTTGCTCATGGCAGACGATAAGTAGCTGACAACACGTGAGCAGTGCTACATACGCGGTTCGTTGCATGTGAGAACAGGCCTTAAACTTCCGAATATCCTGCCGCTTGCGCAGATCCCAGCCCATGAGCTTGGGTCGTGGTGGGCAGTTGATCTCGATATCAATTTCATACGCAAGAAGCGGATTTACGTAAACGGGGTCACGGATCTCATGGTGGCTAGCACTCGAATCTGTACGCAGACTGTCTTTCGTATGATGTATTATCCGTGCGACCCGGGATTTAAAAAGACCAGGAAATGATTTTTCAACTGTTTCCTCTTTAGCTTTTCTCCTCAACTCAAATGAAAAATGAGAAATCACGCGGTCGTAATGTTCTTGGGCACCGGTACGATGACTCCAAGCTTCCACCGTCCTTTTTAAGCACACCATAGAACTCGTTATTCGCAGGCCATGATAAGTGCAGTCATGGCACTCATTGGCCACGAAAGCGAATGCAGATATTCGTCGAGCGATTCATTGTTGACGACTTTATACTTCTGAGTGACGCACTGCTCCTGTCCAATGCGTGAGATGGGGCAAGCTGACGTGCTTTGGGTACCGCGGACGTATCAGAGTAAAAAGGCGTAAAGTTTTGGTAGGAAAGGAGGTACGAAATAGACCGCTATATTTTTGAATTTTCGTACCGGAAAGCGGACTTTTGACTCTCTACTTTCTTTCTTTTGGCCCACTAAACAATACGCGATTAGTACGATACCAATCTAAAATTATTTATCAAAGCCAAAATTCAGTTCATGGCCCCTTGAAGGGCGTCCTGAGAATAGGCAGTCCTAGAATCGCGGAACCGCAGGCTGCTGTGGGGAGCAGAAGTGCAACCATGAGCTCGCACTCTGATCTCGAATCATGCTTCTCAGCGCCCGCCAGGAGTTTCAGCGCGCCTAAGGCAGCTTACGGAAGCGCTCTGCTACAACTCTCTAATGGCAGATCTGGGCGGCAGGAAATGAAGTGGACATGGATCAGCCATAACATGTTGTTAGAGGTCGCTTCGAGAGTGTGGCCAGCGTCACACATAAGGTGCTAACCGGAAACGCAGTGTGAGAAGCCAGAGCGTGAGTTCAGCGTGCGAGATCGGTCTTATTCCGCACTGGGTTTATGCAGGGAATAGCGATATGTCCGCCATGTGAGATAGGAACTAGGGAGAGGAAACCGTATACACTTTACAATGAAGAAAACCTGTCACAGTGCAATGATCTTTCTAAGGCGGGAGGAAAAAAGGAGATGGCTAGGAGTAGACGAGCGTTTAGGTAGAGTCGCAAGTGAAAGGACGTGACGGAAAACTATTCACATTAACGGTTTTTCGTAGGAGCCAACAAGCAACCTATGTGGACTTTAGGAAAATTAGCCTGGTGTAAACAAACGTATATTGGCCGTGATCTTTGATCTGTGTAAATTGAACGGCATAGAATTTGCTACACTTCGCGTATGCAGCGGACAACTTGACAACCGTTTATTCGAAATCTTAACATGTTTGACACGGGTAACAAGAATTATTCATGGAACGGAAATTCGGAAAACCTATAAAACAAGTACTTTGTTATTCTTTACAATATCAATATGACAACATGATACTTTTGGACTCGGAATTTGTTTTTTCTTCTTTTTTCAATCACGAAGTTGGCGAAGATTATTTGCAGGTAAGTGGCTAAATGTATTTAGGAACATGTTATAACTCAAAGTATCGGCGTTGCGGTTGCGACACGAGGTGCTTCATTTGTTCGGACCGTTAAGTTCTTTCATCAAAATATGCTTATATACTGGTTTAAATACTTAACATTGGTTATGTTATCATTGAGAGCATGTTGTATAAAGATGATAGCAGAAATTATTTGATTGCTTCAGAGCTGAGCGAAGGAACGGGAATTCACCGAACAGGAGACATTGCTTTTTGGAATCTGAAATTAACGGACCGAGTTTTACGCCTTTATTTTGTTCGAACGCTTAAAAAAAGGGGAATTAAAAAAATAACTCTTTTGCAATTTCCGTATTTCTAAAGGTTCCGTCGTTCCATAGTTTACATTCACTCCCAGATTACAAAAAAAAAAGCGTGAACGACCGCTGGCCTGAAGATTTTATCATTTTCAACCCGCGAACTTCATACCCGCCGGTACTTTTTTGTTTTGTTTATTAGCTGAGAAAAAAAAGCATATGAACAAGAAAAAGAAAGATTCATAATTTTTGTTTTTAATGCGTGCTAGTTTTGTTCTCACAATGAAAATTTTGTTTTATTACTTCGAGATGGCAAAGAAATATTCCAACTCGGTATCGTCAGGAAAACGTTTATAATTAATGTACCTTCGAGTTTCAAAAGCCTCTTTTCTTACACGGGCTCTCGAAGCCAACCACTTTTAATGAAACCGCGAGTTTGACCTCACCGAAGTGACCTGTCCCGCGGCGGCAGAAGAAGGCAGGCAGCGAACACACAAACACACTCGAAAAGGCAAGCGAGAATTTGAGCAGGGAACGCTCGCACACCAAGGGAACGGACAATAAATCTCTAAACGCCTAATCTGAAAAAAAAAGAAGATATATATATATATATATTCATATGTCTACACACGAATAAAAGCACGAATGCAGAGAGAAACGATTGCGGTACATTTCGATCGCTCTTTCTCAGCTATGATCTCGAGAATGATTAGAGACACCGGCAGTTTCAAAAACGGAGAGAATTAGGTGTCGCGAGCATCTTGTTATCGCTCAGAAGCAAATGCGATTTCCGCATTATCCTATATAAGCACGCTGAAGAACGATTCAAAAAGCAAGAGGGCTGACAATAGCATGCCTTGCCTCGCACTTTTTTAAGCTGTCGGCCACTAAAGCGATTACAGTTCTTGTGTTCCCTCCCGATGACGCAAACGTGTATAGAAAACAGTTCCGTCGTGCTCACAAAAAGCAAAAATAAAATGCGTTTTCTACTTAAAATGTTAGGGAGCACACGTCGCGCAGACACCTGAGCATCGGATCCGACAAGCCACACCCGGCGAATCCCCTTTCATACGTTCGCGCTAAAGGCGATTGATGCATTCTTCACCCTGCACATATTTCACGGGAGGATGAGTGTTTTCTTCGTCCGGCGAGCGCACGGAAGAGGGAATCTTGCGCACGGCGGTCTCATCGTTTTACTGAGCAAGCACCCAGAGAGAGAGAGAGTCCAGCCACCTAATGTTCCGGTTCATATTTCGTGTGACCGCGGCGGTGCCGGTATGTGTGTAGGTGCGTTCGGTGCGGGATGCTTTCCATCCGGAACACCGACAATCCTTCATCTAAAGTTTTTTTTAGGGAACGTCTTGTTTTTTCTGAGTTTATAGTTTTGCAGCGCGTCCTCCCTCGCACTGAACATTTCGGGGAGCGCCGGCAATCGGAGCACGCTCACGCCAAATTCAGGCTGCCCGGTCACAGACCCGTATCGCTTCTCGGACAACACACTATCTATATCATGAATGAAGATAGGTCGCTGCCTGTTTCTCCGAGCCCATTCGTGGTATGTATTTTTTGCCTTTGTACGCGCACGCGCGTAGGTTTACGATAGGCTCTGGAACTGGGCAATATTTTAAAGCCGTTGATAAATATACGGGAAGACAGGACACGACGAAGAAGGGAGATGTTCCCGTCTTATTACCAGAAACAGCGAGCGCCTGAAGTGTCCATTTGAAATCAGTAATGATCCCGAAAAATTCGAGTTTGATCTAGATTTACTATCTTCCTTTGTCTAAAGCCCTGTCACATTAATTTTTTTTTTTTTTCAATTTTGTGATACGCTTGGCAAAGTCTTCATACGTAGTAGCTTTACCGCTCTGTAAATCTTAATTATATTTTTTCTGTACCGAGAGACACACCGCGACTTCCGAGAGAAGGCCATTGGCTTCCGCTACAATCAAATGATCGGCTAGGTCAGTCAATAGGTGTGAAATGCCACGCACCAGCTGCCGCCCCTGCTATAGGGTGACAGGATGGATTATTATTTGGGTTCTAACGCTTTAGCGTCTCGCTTTTGGATCTCGGTTTCGCGAGAAGTTGCGTAAAAAATGACGCCACTTATATAGACACAAAATCTGGTCACGCGATCTTTCGTTACGTGACCAGATGACGTTTCAGGTCACGTGAATTAGAAGAAAAAAAAAACCTTTTCGAAACACCATCGTGTCAAGCTTTTTCGTCTCATCTTTGTACGACGTTATCTTTGCCTGAAATGTACTCTACTTCGAGCACAAGAATATAGGCACTGAAGTTAAATCAAAACGTGAAGAACAGTTGATTACATTATCGTCAGTTGAGGGATTCCACTCCCCGTAACTAAATGGGAACATATACAAAGACAGACACGCAGTCTGCACACACCAGATAGGAAATATTTATCTTATAGTATATTGGCATTTCTTAACCCGAAGCAAGGGAACCGATGTTTCGCCTTTGTAATTTTCCCGTTCAGTTACTACCGACCGTGTGGTTTCCTTCCAGAGAAAAATATAGTATATAATTTAAATATAATTAAGCTTGCTTTCGTCTCGTTCTCGAGTTTAATAAGCAAAACTATTTTAATTTCTGCTCACTCTGCTCTTCCCAATTCTAAACACACAATATTTTACTTTTTTTTTTGTTCTTTTTTTGAGGTGACGCGTAGACGCGATGTATTAAGAACGCAAACGACGCGCTTCCCCATCACGCTCATCTCCAAAAATTATGTTAATAATTGTGATCTATTTACGCTTGATAAAGGAAGTTCTTGGGGCGAATTAGACATGACATCCGTGCTCCAACCTCGGCTGTACTTAAGGTTTAAGTATTTTAGGTGGCCTTTATAAGATATGGGGTGGTTCCCATGAACAGTCAACGATAAACAACACTATCTAAATGTTTGTCTGTTTCAAAACAATACAACACAAACGACTTTTTTTTTTGCTTTAGAACATGTGTTAACGCGGTCTTATGGGTGTCGTATAAAAGTGTCACACACAAAAAAAAGTGACGATTCGAAGTATGTAGTTCAGCGTGCGTGATGTCTCGCGATGAGTCCCAATTTAGACCGCGTTGAGGCCGCTTGTGAGCGAACCTAATCTTTAACAACGAAGTTTCGGAGTCCGGTTTCAGCTGTCTGAGCCTGGACGGCGACACCTTAGGGAGGACTTTCTCCATCCGAGCCACGAGCCTTGGGAGGTTGTGGCCAAAACCCTCGGGTGGTCTTTCCAGCTGCGCGCATTTCCCAAATTTAATTCCGCCTATACAAACGTAGGCGCCAAAGAGGGCTCCCTACCCGACACGTCGCTTTCAATCTGCCTCGGGTGTAATTTATGCGATTAAAGTAGGCGGGTTCGGTGCTAAAAGGCCTGCGGGCGCGTCGAATTCGCATCGCGCGGGCGGCCGGGGCAGACGTTGTCGCGATTATGAGCGAAAGTTTCGCACGTCCCTGGCAGCGCCCACAGTTCGGATCCGCGAGCGAAGTTGCGTGGACATGCGAATCCACCGTTTCCAATTAAATTCCAGCTCGCCCCCTACCATCCGATGGAATGGAAAACATCGCGAGCCTGCTTGCGCACTCCCATTTTGATTGGAGGTAGACGCGGCTTGTACAGCACCATCGGCGAAGTTTGATTGTCTCTCTTTACGAAAACTTTGGGAATCGTCCACGTTTATTCCCTCGATGTCATGTTGAGCTTGTATTACAGTCGTACGCTTCAAAGTCATCTTTAACATTTTTATTTTATTCATTTATTCATTTCTTGGGGGGCAGGGGGGACAGGAGGAAGCAAGTCGAAACTTTTGGGCGTGTCGAAATCATTCACAGTGATCTTCCGTCGACTGCACTTTAGATTACATTTCCCTGTCAACTAACTAAAAGGCGAGAATATATTGAGTCTGGTGCCGGATTGGAAAAAAAAAATCGAGTGTCGTTATAAACAACTCTGTGACCATTCACCGCTTTCGTCATATCGGTTGCTAAGCGACGGTGTTGCAAACGGGCTTTCTCTCGAAATGCACCCAGTTTTTGATAACGATCCCATGTTTGGAGCGAAATCTAAACCCGTGCTTCTGCGTTGTAGCGCTTACTCTTGGGCGATATCACTGCGCTTATGAAACGTTCTTCAATTAACGGGTTTCCACGCAAGCCTCTTCGTTAGACGAGGCTTATCATGTGACTTAAAATAAACATTGGATGGCACTAGTACACAAAAAAAAAGTGAAAGCCGTTTACAACTCCCTGTAACGCCGAATTAGAGCGCAGCTCTTGAGAAGGAGGAGGGAAGGGTACTGGGGTGGTCAAGTGACACCTTGGTTGGGGGTCACGTGACCTAGGGGGGTCACGTGACGATGCCGATGCCGATGACGTCATTAGTAACGATGACGATGCGGATACCGATGACGTCATCAGTGATGATGACAATGACGATGCGGATGCCGGTGACGTCATCAATAATGATGACGATGAGGATGCAGATGCCGGTGACGTCATTAGTGACGTCACTGATGACCTCATCAGCGATGATGACGATGACGATGCTGATGCCGGTGACATCATCAGTGATGATGACGATGCGGATGCCGGTGACGTCATCAGTGATGATGACGATGACGATGCGGATGCCGGTGACGTCATCAGTGACGTCACTGATGACGTCATCGGGGGTCTCGTGACTTGGGGAGCCTCGTGACTTTGGGTGTCACGTGACCTTGGGGGTCACGTGACCCGAGGTCACGTGACCTTGGGGTGACCTTGGGAAGTCACGTGACCTTGGGGAGGGGTCACGTGACCTTGGGGAGGGGTCACGTGACCTTGGGGTGACCTTGTGATGACCTTGAGGGGCAAGTGACCTTGGGATGACCTTGGTTACGCCGACGGCGACGGCGACGCCGCTCAAGCCGGGAACGGGCCCCTAAGAGCTGCGCTCTAAAACAGAGCCAAAGAAAGTGAAAGCCGTTTACAACTCCCTCTAACGCCGAAATTGGAGCGCAGCTCTTGAGGAGGAGGAGGGAAGGGTACTGAGGTGAGGGTAGACCCCTCCTTTTCCTCCTCCTTCTCCTCCTCCTCCCCTCATTCTTTTATATGCTCCGGGGGGGTCACCTGACCTCGGGGGGAGGGGGGGGTGTCACGTGACTTCAAGGGGGGGAGTCACGTGACCTCGGGGAGGGGGGGGGCACGTGACTTCGGGGGGAGGGGTCAAGTAACCTTAAGGGGTCACGTGACCTTGAGGTGACCTTGGAAGGTGCCACGTGACCTTGGGGTGACCTTGGGGGGGGGTCACGTGACCTTGGGGTGACCCTGGTTACGCCGACGCCGCTCAAGCCGGAAACGGGCGCCTAAGAGCCGCGCTCTAAAAACGGGAATTCAAGGTGCAAATTTTAACAGGGAATGAATGCGAATGAACTTGTCCATGTTCAGTTTGTCCCTGATCTGACAGTGCAGTCGAGGCTACGTGCTGGTTGGGCCAGGAATACCCCTATCTTTCACCACGTGATCGCACTCCCGCTGCGACCCGCGTGCAGAAAGCGGGGTCAGTTGGTAAAGGGGGTGCGGTTGATTGAAGCGGCGAGTGTGTGTAGCTCCCTCGCATTGTCAGCACGCGTGATTTTTAAGGAAATGAGATCCAAAGGGTACAGCGGATGAAGCTTTTGACAAAACGGGATAATACCTGGTGTGGTGCGGAAAGCGACACTATTGTCAATAACAGAAGATGCTCGATTTCATTGTCAGCGAAACCTAGGTAGTCAGATATTTATCATAATGACTGCGGTAACGTGCACGACACGAATGGTTCTGTCTCTGAAAACTGAAGGGGTTACTTGGATACTATTTGGAGTCATCCATATGATTGATGCTAAAAGACATCATAGATACGCCGGTGCAGTTTCAGAACCCGCCAGAACTCTCTAAACGTATTTACGACGCTGCCTTCATTTGACAGCCGTGTATGTGAAGGGAGAAGTCAGAAAGAAAGCCGCTGTTCTCAGAATAAAGTGTCCCTTCCAAACTGCCAGCACAACACACATTTAAAACAAGCAAACGTCCCACTCAAAACAGGAATTGGTCACACTTCGCGGTCGAGGGCTGGGGCGTGGGGATGGCCAACTCACACAGGACCCCGAGCCTGACGGAGGTGGCCATGGGCGACTCGAGCGCCGGGTGGACGGCCTCGCAGGAGTACACGACGCCGTTGTCGTCCGAGTGGGGCGTCAGCGTCAGGCTGCTGATGGCGTTCTGGCGGCCACCCTCGCTCTCTTCCACGCTGTAGTGCACGTTGTCTGCGTAGAAAAGGGGGAAAAAGAGGGGGTGATGTTTAGAGCTTCGTTAGAACAAACCTGAAAGGAGTTCATATGAAAAAAACCGTCTACAGTCATTGGCAGCTAGAGAAAGACAGGAGGGGGCAATCCCGACCTTCCTATCGTCGCTCCTCGGCCAAGCGGCATTAGACAACGAGAACACTGAAGAACCAATCAGGGAGCAAGAAGAGTGAACTTGATAAGCCACGCCTTCGCGTTTCTTACGTGCTATCAATGGGAACATATGGACGCGCCACTGTGCGCGGAAAACCGGGCTCTGGAGTGGCTCGCGTGCATATCGTGGTTGGGAATGAGAATGCAAGGCGCGAATCTTTAATGTCCGTACAGAGCGGAGGCATTTCGCAGCTCCTCAGATCTGCAGGCGCGGCCATGGTCCCGATTGAGCGTTCACACCTTTATTGTCCGGTTGTTTAAACTCCCAGGCGGTGTAAAGGCGGATATACAGGATCTGGCTAAAAGCTACGTTTGCATTGCAAACACAATCTACACCGTGTATACATTTTTACTGATGGGTAATGCAGGGTGTCGAACCAAAACGGCACTCGAACCAAAAACCTGATCAAAGCCGTTATTTTTTATTGAACCGGAACAAAAACCGAAACCGTAATCGAACACTCCATCTTCAACCCGAACAGGAACGAAAACATGATATCACGTGGAGGTTACCAGTTCATTGGAAACGGTTCGACGCGATAAAATCTCAACTGCGGCTGTTCTTTCGGGTGGCAGCGGGTGGCACAGTGTTGACCTAATAAACGGCAGTGACCTAAAACCGACCTATATATATATACTATATATATATATATATATATATATAAAAGTGTCTATCTGTAGCAAGACTTGGCGTCCGCTAGTTGTGTCGGAGGGGTACGTCTTCAAGCTAATGAAGCCAAAAGGCAAAAGAGCCAGTCCTTTTCTGTTTATTTTGCTGCCACTTCTAGGAAGTAGAAAACGAACAAAATAAACACCAAAATAAGAAATAAAATTTAAAAAAAATGGGCGAGTTGTTTACGTGTGTTTTTTTTTCCGTCGGTGAACACTGAATTCGGCACCGATAAGACACGGGTCACGCGTCACAGCGCCGCCGGGCGAATGGACGCCGATCACCCGACATACTCTAGTTTCACCTTACGGAAGACTTGCAAGTTTCTTCGAACAATCGAAGCCATTTCAATGCCACGTGAGTGTCACCGGACCTTCGAGAGAAGAGCGCAGCAACTTGAGAGTAGCGTCAACCTTCCTCAGTGGCGCGTAGCCATGACTTTCACAGCGCTGGCTTGGCTGGGACGGCTAGTATATAGCATTCGCTGCAGCCTTTTTATGAGGTGAAACAGAGTGTAGCTGGACGCTGCTTGGGGAGAAGTTTCTTTGTTCCGGAGGTTCTTTTTGTTTCTTTTTGTTTGTATCGCCTCTCGACTGCTTTTCGCGACCTTTCCCCTTTTTAATTTAGCAGCTGAGTCATTTGGAAAGGGTAGTTCGAGAATAGGTGCGTGCTGTACACGGTGTAAGATATACATATTCGTGAGGACACACCGCACGGCGTACGCTGAGGCGCGATCGACCAGATAAAGTGCTCTTCGCGCGTCTCAGAATAGCCTCAGGCAACAGCGTCTCCGTCGTCCAGACGGCGCAACTGAGGGAAAAAAAAACATAAAAAGTACAAGAGTGCCTCGCACCCAGGGGCGCGCTCTTTCAGCGCGGAGCGTCTGCTCTGACCTTCACGGACACTGGCTTGAACACTGCGCCAGATATATAACCGCTTCAAACCGTTCATAAAAGTGTTAATGCGTCCGTGGAGGCACATAACTAGGGTCAGTGACGAAGCAGTGTCCACACAACACGAGTAGGGCAAGTCCAAGTTCTGCACGACGTGGCGCACCAGAAAAACGGCTTTTAAGTTTTAGTACGAGCATGTCAACCATAAAGAAGGATGGGAAACCGGGCCAGCGACAAGATGCCATGAGCCGCATATCGAGGAGCTATCTGGGGGCGCCGCTTGAAATTAAGGTCAGAGGAGGACTTCATCTGGCGCCGGCATCGCGCGTGTTGTCTACACCTATATGTATCCTACTCCGAGGTGCTGACTGATTTACTTTGCTTGTGAGTACTGTACGTTGGTTCTATTTCCGAGCGCCTCTATGACAGTGATTTGCGGAGCAGTGTTTGCCATGAAACGTTCAGATGGCCAACCAATTTTAGAATGGATTTGTTATGCTGTCCCCGTTTCAACAGCACGGCTATTGATGAGCTGTTGTTTGTAGTAATTTTAAAGCAGATGACGCCGAGTTGAATGCATTTGGTGTTTTAGCGACTGAGAGCTAAAATGTTTATTCTATTTTAGCGTCAATATTGGCGAAAGATATGGCTTAGCGGCTAAGTTTATAATCTAACGGATGTTGTCATTGTCGTCATGAGCAGATACACGAGGTGTAGTGGGCCTTTTCTATCTCATGCGAATGAGCAAGCTTGGATTGTGCTTTTCACTGCTGCTGTGCAGTAACCGATAGTTGAAAATACATAAACCAACCGCGAGTCGAGGGGGTCAAACGTGGTCACATCCAAGGCCTCTGACGCTGCCCTTCGTTAGAGCGTATTATTTATGGATGATCCTCCGTAACGAGACAAAGTTTAGCTGGGAATATTACATGTCCAAATCCGTGAATAACAGTGTAGATGTGACATGACATTAAAATTTGTGTGCATATAAAAACGAGAAATATGTTGCCATTTGCTTTTGTACCGTCCCCGAAGACAGAGACATCTACACTTCAGACGGTGAAATGCTGGGTAATGTTTGTTTGTTTTCTGCTTGGTACTGACCCATTTGACAATCCATACAATACACGCCTTCTTAAAAGTCCAAATTCTTTTACAACAACCAATAACTATGAGTATAACATTCGCGGAACGTGGTTAAGATTTAATGTCTTTTGTATTTCTTTTGTTTGACCCAAAGACACGGCACTTGAGTCTGGTACAATTAGGCTGAATATAAAATAATCTGGAACAAAAAAATCTTCTAAAATTATAGCAAACATCGGTATTGTTTTATTGTGATAAAAAGTTTTACTGCCGAGTAAATGATTTTATGCGTATTTCTATTTATATAATGATTCACTCAATTCGATTTTTGTCTGAATACAATTATTAGTTACTTAAATCCTACATTACAAGAAACAATGTCTCGATTGTATTTCAAATTAAAGATTCGCCGATATTTGACGTGTGTTACTACGTTGAAATAAAACACGCTTCATACATGGAAAGAATAACTGAAAGCAGTTTGCTCAGAAGGAATACCACGAAATGATTTCAGTTCAAATAATATTTTGAGGCGAAATCCGATTATAATGTGGCCTGACTAATTTACGCATTTGACTGAAACTCAAGTTTCTTATAAGAAATTGTCTCTTTTAAATAACAAAATAAACTGTGACAGGTTACCGAAAGACAATAACCTTAAACGAAGCAGGTCTTTTTACATTGTGTTCGAGACATATGACCAGCACCGGCACGCGCTGTAACAGTGAGCGTGGTGTGCGGGGTGACCCCAGCGTAGCTCGCTTATATTGAGCTAACCATTAGACGTGTCCTTCTTATTATGTGATCATATTTTGGTTTGATAAAAACATTACCCTCCATTCTTCTGCACGGCTACTGCAAGTAGCACATGCTCAACAAAATACGTAGAAGATACGCGGGCGGCCGTGACCTCAGATAAATTATCGGTTAATACCTGCAGGTATGAACCGGTAACCGAAACGATATATCGCATGCATGACTGAGCCGGAACCAAACCGGAGGAAAATCAAAAGCAACTGAACCCGAACCCAAACCGAACCGGAATAATGGCCGGTTTAACACCCTGCATCAAAGGAAAGGTACCGCGAACTGACTCTGAGCATTCAGGGTCAATTAGCGCGATAGGAGCTTTACAGATTCGATGCGATGGCACAGGGACTCCCTGTTTTGACTGGGAATGTCAATTTCTTTAAAAAAATGGATCATAATCTATACAAAAAAGGCCATCTTCCGCCATCGGATTATCTGGTATTGCAAACACACCTTAACTTCGGACACCGAAGTAATGAAATAATATGTAAAATCAGGAATTTATCCCATTTACAAAATTCTAATACATCGATCACGTTATGCAATACTCAAAAAAAAAAAAGACGTCCACCGTTTTTTTTTTTTTTTTTTGTCCTCTTTTATCCTAATATCAGCCCTGCACTTGACAAGCAAGGCAATCAAGAAACTTCGACAGCAATGCATCTGAGAACATCGCTCTATCGGGCTTTTTTGTTTCCGGCACAGGGAGAAAGCAAACGTCGTTCAACACGCCGGAACCTGACACGCCGTGCGTCTTGTTGCTAACAGTAGCTGCCTCATGCTAATGACCGCCTCTTGTTTACTCAAGGGAACCAGGCCCGCGGAAAACTTCAAGGCGTCTCGCACGCGCCCCGAAAGCTTCGTCATGGCGAGCAGTGATTATCATAGCCGTCTTGTTTTCCCCGACGTCTGACGCCTTCAATTACCAGCTAACTGCCGGAATGCCAGGACTACATTACTTCCCTTCTTGGCAAAGCGGCCGGCACCCGCAGGAGTGGGAAAGCTAGCAACAAATTAACCTGGGAGAAAAAAGCTCTTTCGGAATGCATATGGCTTGAGCTTCACGTTTCTTGGATAAAAAAAAGATAATAATAATTATATTATTGCGAGCTTAATTAAACTTCTTTCGCTCGCTTCTTTCCAGTCCGTACAAGTGTTCCTTCCGGTCGGAGTGCACTATTTACGTGCGATTGAGAAACTGCATACATGCTGTTACACCAAGTATTGCTCGCTTCACACCATCAACATGTGCCAAACTTGAATTTGCCGGAATCAGCACACGGTTGATTAAGTTTAATATACTTGAACTTTAGTAATCTCGTATCGGAATATTTTAGCAGAGATCAAAAAACATCTATCGACCACGTTTTTGCTCGCGTTCAATGTTAGTGGGAAAACGAATTTCCATTCACTAAGAACATTCTATCGAACCGAAAGAAGTGCTATTAAATTTAAAATATATTAAATGGTGTTTCGGGCGTTGCATATACTTCTTACGATGTAGCAATCCAAAATAGAGCAAAAGAGGTCTCACGAATATAAGTACGTTCTTCTCCATTTTGCCGCGAAAATTTCTTCCTTCATGGCGAACATCCTTGTTGTGTGGTACTTTGTACAAAATTATATGATTATGTTACACTATGCCCAAACGCCTTTCAACGGAATACGTACACATAATACAGACCTCAAATTCTAGGCTCTTAAGTGAAACTCTTATGCATAGGATCGATAGCGCGAACATGAAAGGAGTCTCAGCCTGACGTCGCTCCTAACATTTTTCTCAACATATATTGTGCTTGAAGAGAATATCCCCAAAACCTTGTCGTTGTTTTTCTCATACACGCGGAAAAGGTATTGCCTCCAGCCCTCTATTGCGCTTTGATATCCCCTACAAGCAAACCGAAAACAAAAAAATGCCTCTGACAGAGTTCAACTGTGAGGTTGCTCGGCGTCCGAGGACAAAAAAGGGCATAAACGTCCGCTATTATTCGAAATAAAATGACGCTGCTTTTAAAAACGCTACCCGTTGCGGAAGTCGAGTCTGAATCAGCGATTTTCAACGTTCGTCTTGTTCCCAACAAGGACGAGGAAACTTGGAAAAAGGAAGTGAAAAAGAGGAGGAAGTAAAGAGAGGGGAAGGGGACCGGAACTAATTCGGATACCCAGGCGAATATTGAGAAGGAGGAAGGGGAACACGCGAGAAATTATGCTTTCTTTCCATTCCGGGGAGAAGTATCGGAAAAATAACCTCGACAAAATTGGGAAAGGGAAACAATATATATTAAAATTGTGGAGAAGAGAACTTTTCTTCTTCCCATCTATTGGTCGGAGCGAACACTATAGTATTGACCCAGTTACTTCGGGTTTATATCTGGTTATTGGACTTTCTTCCCTAACGAACCGTAGACAATATTTGTTTCGGCGATTGTAGACAGGAGCTGAAGTCAAACCTGGGCTCGCGATACTAGCGCCGCCGTTTTCGAAAAGGGGAAGAAGACGTGTCATAAATTGCGCGTATAAAAAAAAAGTCTGCTGTTTGCCTCTCCGATTTTCGGAACGTGATCAATACCAAAGAGAATGGAATCATTGGGGTTATCCTGATATACGACGTACGCGGGAAGAAGTAAAGCGCATAACTGAATATCACGCAGTTAGTTCGAGTCTATGAGCGAGCTTCGATATATTAAGCTTTGTTCTTTATTCCGGGTCTTCAGCACACACTACAAGTCTGATTCTGTTCTCGGCCGTTCAAACGCATAGTTGTCATAATCCTAGCGTTTCTCGCAATTGTGTTTTTACGGTTGTAAAAAGCTATAAAAGAATGTCAAGGGTGCTGAGTTTTTCTGACTTCTCTGTAGAGGCAAGAACTATTTCTAGATGGTCTGATTTGTTTACTTATTAATACTCTATTACTACTAACATCTACAAGGATACCTGATGTGGGAATACACAAGCGCACTAAAGTTATGCAAAAAGAAACAATAAGGTTAAATTTTAGACGCATAAAGACCGAAATTTGGCTTGTTAAATGAATCGGGAAGAGAATTGATAGTTAGTTGGATTCACCAAACAATACACAAACTCTACAGACAGACATGCATTAATAGAGGCCCATCTTAAAGACGCTTAATAATTGCTCCAAAAGCACGCAGTTTGTGTTTCGCGTAGACGCGTGCAGGTTTTTCGTCAATTTCCTGCATTTAAAGCATTCCGCTTTTGTGCATTTATAGCAATCGTGGAGCGCTCATAATAGGTACAGCAACATCAATGGCCACTGTGATTGTCGAGTTGTTTTCTAGTAACCTCTTCTCCAGTCAAAATCGCGGGCAAAAGGACGGTTGTGATTTCCATGTGTTCGAGTGGAAAAGGCTTTATTAAATGAAAAAAAAAATGTTATTGTGTCTCACTGTTCACTCAGCTACTGTTATAGCTTCGCGTGCTCTGTGGCAAAATAGGCGCGCTGGTACTGGGTGTGTTCTCTAGTTCACGCTCCGCTAACCAAGAACCCACAACTGCTCGACCAAATAGCAAAGACAGCTTTGTAGGCATCTAACGCAATTTCGACAGTAGCACGTGCAGAACAACCTGTTTTTGAAACCATGGCTTGTGACGTTATGTGGGAAAAAAACGCATGCGTTGGCAAAAAGTCTTTAGCAGGTTTTCGAGCAATTTCTGTCGTTTCATAAGCATCAAAGAAGTTCTAGAGTGCGCATGACAAACCTTTCAAGTTTTGTCATGAAGGAACGTGAGGTAGCCCTGCTTTTCAATATCTTAGCGATAGACAGTACCTTGGACCCGCTTTGTCTAAACACAAATATTTGTCTTCATAGCACAATTTGCTTCTCCTCAAACCCAAAAGGTTTGTTTCCTGTCAAAGTGAACTGATCCTAAAAGTATACTGAATATGTACTTTTATGAAAATAAAGCACAATACCGCGATACAGGCACGTATATTTAATATATGAGGTATTATTTTAGCGTAGGTCTATTGGGAGGGCGCGACACCTCAAGGGGACGCGCCGTTCCGTCTTGACAAGTGGTTGACAACACCACCAGTGACAGCGTCGATGTTGTGTCGCATAATGAAGCGCTCCCCGCTCTGAATTCCTTTTAATGCGGCCGCAGCGTCTTGGCCGCGCTTACGCTTTTCCGCGGCCTGGTTTCTCGCAGCGGAGTAAAGGCCTTGACATTCGCAACATGCACGCTTCAAGCGTTGCAATGTATCTGACTTCGCGTCCTTCGACCCGCAGAGGCTGGTTAAAGCTCGGGTTAAATCGTGTGTCCCGCAGTAGTACGAGGCAACGACGGCAGTACACCGCCATGTTTTTCCTTTATTTGCGCCGAAATATTCCTCTACGAAGCGTTTGTGAGTTCGACGTTCCGGAAATTTCTACGGACGACGTTCGTCAGTACCAGTGATCTAAAAAATGTACGCGCTAAGTATTTACTTATCGCTCCTGTTATTATCAGGTTGCACTTCGCTCAATGGCGGATCGAGTAGACGTACTAAAATCGAGACGATCGCGGCGGTCTTCGAGAGCGCATGAAGAGGATCTGTGCCGTCAATTTCCAGGTCTTGCGTAAAACAAGCAACCGTCGATTTGGGCCTTCAAAAGTTTTAAGCGCTCTGCTCAAGTTATCCGTCATTGATTAGAAACTGACGTCAGCCGCTATAGGAGTCCGGCCGTGTTTTATGGAAGATGTGTCTGCTAGGAAGATCACCGTGGCCCTACTGTCTTGTTGAACGCTTGATATTGTACTTTTCACTTTTGTGTTGCGCTGAGCGCGTGTGTGAACTCTGTTTCTGACACCAACGGAGTCTGGCAGCTAAGCTGTACACACTCAACGTCGCCCCTTTGTCACTCTTTGTGAGCTAAGATAATTATTTAGGTATAGTTTCCGAACCATACTACTATGTTCTTACCTAAAATCGCACAATCTTTATTCTCTGGTGGATTGATTTTTGAAAAGGAGTAACCCATCTCGGGGACGTCGTTCAATATATAACTCCGCCCTGGGTCGCCATTGCACATACAGGATTATATACACGTACCATATAGTGTGTGGGGTAGGCACTCACCGGGTCTTAGCTCGACGTTCTTGCGGTACCACTTGAGTTGGGCGGCCGGCTTGGCCTGAGACACGACGCAGGTGAGCTTGACCGACTCGGATTGCCGCACCTCGACGCTGCTACCGTTCGGGTGGTCCGTGATGGTCACCGACGCCGGGGGAACTGCGCAGGGATAGAGAGATTGGGTGATTTCTGTAGGAACCTTAACTAACAGCTCCTAGAAAACAAGGCCGTAGTGCTGGATGCTTTACGTCACTTAACGGGGGCCAGCAGTGGAGAAATTGGACACGAGATTTGCGTGAGCTGTCGGCAGGGAGTAAAGGTCTCACCGAATGAGCACGAGTCCCAACCGAACGATGTAGCAGCACTTGTCTTCGGTGTGTTCCCATGTTGGCTTTTTTTTATCAAACCCTGAAAATTAAGCACTACGGCCTCGCGATCTGCCTTGAAGGTGATGCATCAAGCCTCTTCAATCACTCGATTCGATTTCCAAAACAAAGGGGGAAGTCGGAGTAGACACCAAACTGGTTACGCAGTTGCCAGAGCTTTTTTTTCCCCTTTTTGCCCAGGAATTAGTGATTCAGCTTAGAAGCGCAAAGCGAATCTTGAAAGAGTTCCACTATTAGAATAAGAATCTGTAAAAGGTACATTATTTTCCATAGAGAGTTCCAAACTTTCGTGGTCTCTTGAAGGTGCACGACTAGATAATTTCAGGTCCTCTCTACGCGGGGTAGGTGACCGTAGTCTGATATCTTTTTGTAGTTTTTTGTGTGATTTATTACAATATTGCCGCCTGCATGGCTGAGAGGAGACGCTTCTCCGCGCTTGCACATGATTCGTGTGTACTCTGATGATTCGTGTGCACTCCGATCCCGAGTCTAACGGATTAGCAGACCAACATGACCTGGCCGAGTCAATCTCCCGAGTGCTCGACGCTCGAACATTCTAGACCGAATGTCCTCGATACCCAGGATAATAGTTGAGGTGCCCAGAGTTGCCTTGCCGACTACCTCTCACGCTCTCGCGCTAGCCAGCTGTTACGCCGACATTCTGACGCTCGCTGCTGCCGCCTTCGATACTCGATGCTCTTTTCTCGACGCTCGTTCTTTCTTTTTTTTCTGGCACAAGTTCGCCAAACAAAACTTTATTTTCAGTCTAAAAAATATAAAATTTTCTCTCAATTCATAATATTTGTGTCAAGATATAAATATTTGCTAAACAATTATATTAAAAAAATAAATGCAATTGTTGCACAAAGAAACTTGAAATCAAAACTCAAGCGAGGATGCCAACGATCAAATAGGACTTCCGCAAAAAGAATAACTGGTGCTAAGGAGCAAAATTTAAAACCAAAGGTATTTTAGACCTATTTAGAATAAGTCCTCTTTTCGTGATGTGAAGTACCCAGATACTTTGATTCCGAGCAATCCCCGTACAGCTCAGCAGTTCTCAGCCCTAACCCAACCACCGGCATAACTTCTGCAGACCAACTTCGTTTCATATTTTGTGAAATAAAATAAAGCTGACGTACAAAAAGTGCAAAGGCATCTGAAAAAAACATCTTGCCTCAAACGGGCGCTTCTTAGAAGAAAAAAAAAGAGCAGATGCTAAAATTAAAAGAAAGGTCCGTTCAGGGTAAAAAGAAAGTTGAGAAAAATCGCGGCAAAAAGAAAAATGGAGGGAGGCAAGCGGTGAATTCGTTGCTCTTTCTTCCGGCCCCCAAAAAAGGAAGTTGAAGAATCCGGGGATCGGCGGATGACTGCCGTAATGCACCCTGACAGAAGATGATGAATCGTCCCGCGCATCTTCCCTGAGAGGACGGGTACTTCCCTATGCGGAAAGAAAGGCGCAGCGGGATTTCGGGATGCTGGTGCTGTGGCCACCGCCGCGTTCGTCGCTGCAACCCCTTCTCAATTCAGCCGCCCCGTATGGTTGACTATACTACGTCCCCACCTAAGCTGACAGTGCGGTGGTAGCAACGCGCTCCTTGGAACACTCACACGTCTATCATTAGCCACGTGTTCACGATCCTGCCAATCCCCGTGCGCAGAAGGAGGAGTCAGGTGGTAAAAGAGAGGCTGTTGATTGGCCCGACGAGTAGGTAGCTCCCAGCGCAGTGTCAGCTTAGGGGCGATAGGAGGAGCACTTTTCTGCGCAAGCTCGCGTGCGCGCACTCTTCGGCGGCCTCACTGTGGCTCCTTCTTTGATCGACCCCTTCTTGCCCTCCTTATTATTTTTTATCGGCCTGAGTTTTTAAAGAGAGAAAGTCAGACGTGGCCTCACGCGTCAGGAATCGAGAAAATAAGGCGATATCTCGGGGGTAGTGACAGCCGCGTGTGCGAAGGGTAAGCTTTTTAGTTTTCCTTTTTTGTTCTGTTCGTTTTTTCGGGGGGGGGGGGGGTGGGGGGGGGGGGACGGGGGGGGGGGGGTGATGACTGAAGCAGCAATTGAGTTTCGGGGAGGGATGAGATGGGAGGGGGGTGTTGTTTGGTCGCTTTTCCTCGGCCACAGATCGACGTACGCCTTTTTTCGCGCGCTTCTCAAAACCAGACTTTTAAGATGCACAATACTATGCCTCAGTTATTTTCTGATATTTCTTTTGTTATTTTTTTACGTTTAATGAGCAATGAAACATTACGGTTGGCGAGGGACCGATGAATATTTACAATATCAATGGCTATTAAATATTTTCTCATTGTTCTTGAAGCTTTTCAGACGATCGCTGGTGTTAGATACCGCAAGTGTACGACACACTCGTTGAGAGTTATAATTCACGTAATGTTTGCTTTAAAATACAAATCTCAGCAAAACCGAGGGATTGAACTCGATTTCGAGTAATTACCGGAAATTAAAGCAGAATGAAAATACAATGGCACATTTTCTAATTCCAACGCGTTATCTCTAGTCATTCGTGAAGTTCAGTAACATTCTAAACATGCTGTGATGTAACAAGTACAAAAACGTCAACACTCATTATAGTCTAAAGAAATCTGGTAGTCCTGTTCCATCACAGTAACCAAACTCTCCCGAGGCCGCGTTAAACGAACTACGTTAAAAATTAGTGTACAAACCATAAAAAAGCTGCAACCTTTGATGGCCAATATTTATTGTGAGCAACAACTCAAAAATGTTTTAATTTCTCGCACGCCATGTGTGTTGCAATACATTTAGAGCCATTGACGCAATGGCGAGGATACCAGCACTTAACCGTGAAGAAACAAATTGCAACTTCATATAGATCCCTTAATCCTCAAAGCCAAATCTGAGAGGGGATGTGAGTTATGATGGCGTGCACCACAGATCTCGAAACACCGAGAAGAAAAACAGGCGCAAATATTGCAAATCCAGTTACAAGTGTCCCTACAGCCCGAAATGAGATGTGCCCCTGTGCCTACTTTTAGGTCATAGCTGCTTCCAGTCGTGGGACGTAAAATAATGCCCAAAATTCCAAGTGTTGCTTACAATCAACATATCGAAACAATAATTAAGAAAAAAGGTATTTTTATGAGACCACATATCTTTCATTTTTTGTGTAGGAAAACCACGTAGATTTTTGGTGGGGGCTCCAGTGTTTCCTGTAACTTTTTTGGCGTCAAAGGGTTAAGACATAGGATTTTTTTCGACACAATTGCGGAACCTGTTGAATATTAATAGAGCCGACTCACCGCGGTACATGCTATTTATAATCAGATGTGACAACCCGTCGCTATCAGAGCAACAAGCGACCCAATCCTTTGTAAAGTTGTTGGCTTTCCTTCGTGTCATGAAACTGCTCCTCCTGACGGTTTACTCTAGAGCTGCGTTCCATGGCGCTGGCTTTCATTGTTCTCTTTAAAGCAATTATCTGGTATCCAGATTCACTGAAAATAAGGTCCAAAAGTACACTCCACTAGCCGTCATTGAAAAATATTAAGAACGCCAAGGAACCCGAGCGCACACACGCCCATCAGTTTTACCATGTCGTCACAGAAAATCGACTCCCTGCATGTATATCTTATTCTCAACCGCAAAGAGGAGGTAGACATAAAATAGGAGCTGGTTCCTTGAAGAGAGTGATATCGAATTGCGTGATCTTACAAGAATAATGTTTTCTTAACATTTTATTTTTCAAGTTCTTTTTCACGCAGCTAATTTCCACACACGCAAACGCTACCATTATAAATTTACTCTTGTATACTTCAAACGCGGTGAATATTTTTATATTTGACCGAGCGATGGCTTGAGTAATCGTGCTTTGTTTAGTTTATAGGAACACTTTGGCTGATACCAAAAAACATCGAAAACAATGATGACTCGGCCGCTGAAGAAGACATTATATTTCAATGTCGCAAGTACTCACGCAGAACTGTTACATGCGCGTCTGCTCTGATAGCCTTGTGGTCTGAGGTGGGTCCCACCTGTAGCACGAAAGAAAAACAAAACACACAGTGAATTAAGAAAGACCGAGCGCAACCGAGAAGCCTAATTACGAAGTGATTGTAATACCATGGTTCATTATTTACGTTTTTAGACTGTCTGTTAACATTGCAAATGAAAAAAAAAAGCGTGTGATATTGTGCATATTGCTACAGCCAGAGCTCAATCTGCCTTTGAGAGTATGCAAAAAGTGGCTCAAAGCTACTGCAGTCTGTCTTAGTGCAAATACAATAATCGCTGCACTTTGACCGAAAACATTAGATATTTAACATTCACAATGAATTACAAAACCACACGCCGGTTCAACATCCTTCCTTAGCAAGATAGACAGAAACGAGGAATTAAATCCAGAATCCATGATTTCTGCCAGGCATACTTTCTCTTTTGGTAGCCTTGCGCTAACACATTCGGCGCAAGGAAATGTTACCACAAAGCTTTCTGCGTTACAACACACCGTCAACCGACTGCTTCACATGCCGTCGAAAAAAAGAAGCTTAGTGTCCAGGCTTTTAGAGACTACGAAAAATCGAGCTAAACACTTTTGGGTTTTTTTCAGTGTGACTATTTCTGATTTTTTCGCTGGTGAGAGAGAGAAGTCCAGTGATTCTTGTTTGAGACTCTACAAACGTTGAATTTTATTATATTCCTAACAATCCAGCACTCATGAGGTTACAACGAAAAAGGCTGTTATCCCTCTATCGCTTGAGGAACACAAAAAGAGGGAGGCTGGGATGTACAAAGAAATAAAAACAGTCAAGTTGGGATTAATTCATAAAAAAAGCGCACAGAAACCGGACACAAACTACACAATATGTGCGACAGATAAGAGCCTCTGCCTCACTAAATATTTGTTTATGTCGACCCCTTCGCAGTATAACAAGCATTGTGCCTGGAACGCGTCTCCGAATGCTGTGTTTAGCGCATCCTAAAAGGTGCTCCCTCGATGTCTGCCCGATGACGCCATAGAAGTATCATGTCCTCACGAAACCGGTGACCCCGAGAGTGTCACAACAGTGGACGTTCAAGCGGCAAACGCCCGCTCAGCTGCAGGTCGGTCTCGAGCTTGACAGTCCACGGAACGCAAGCAGACACGGGGTGGGAAGCCGCGAGAGCGGCAACCCTTGCGTCCGCTCGCCTTTTCTGCTAGCATTGCTACGACCAGCCGCCGCGACTGTGACATCTGACAGCACACTACGTCGGCTTCTGTGGCGATATTTGTTGCCACTAAAAGGTCACCCTAGATGCACGGGCGGGACAGGACTGTAGACACACGAGTTGAAGACGCGGTCGAGGCAGCACAACATTAAGAGGACTGAAGGAAACCAGTGGGTGTGGTAAAGGGAATCATCCAACCCGCTTAAACAGGGGGTCAAACTTTAGGTGTAAGAAATTGACCAGCACCCTCGGTAGGGGGGCCAGATGAGCCTAAGGGGGATTCGAGTGATCCGCTAAATGACCCTCCATAAATGGGAGTGCTGTGACTACCGAACTTAGGGGAATACCGTAATTTCAATTGGGGGTTGTATATGGAACGGTGTCCGACTCCCCGAAGGGAGTACCTATGTATACCTCTCTTTATTTAAAGAGTTAGATGTCCTTTTTGGGCCTCCCTTCCCTGTACTCCACAGCGCACGCAGGGACAACTTGACTGAGAGCTCACCTGGCACTGGTATTCGGCGTCGTCGTCCAGCGTGGCGTTTTCTATCTTCAGGTTGTGAATCCCCTGCATTGGGTCTCCCGTCATCGAGTACCTGGGGTAGCCAGGTATGCTCCGGTTGAAACCTGTAACAAGGTTGGCCGCACTCGTAAGCTCTCATCTAAAATACATCCTCGCGCATAAAACATTTGGTGCCACGGATACGTGATATCTTGTTTGCGTAAATCTCATAAATTCGGACATATATTCAGGAAAAAATTATGAGCACGGTCTACGAGCCGCGTTATACTCAAAGAAAAAGAACGGACTAGCAGTGGCTTCACCTAGTCGCAAGTGGATGAACAGACTACCAAAATCTACGGGAGCTGCCCAGGAAAAAACAGGACTCAAGAATAATGTTTTCACTGAGCTACGAAGAAGGTAAAACTTCATGAATATTGTTCTGGTAGAAATCACGTTTGCTATTAAGTCCTTCCGTCAATGGCGAATTTCGACATACAATTTAAAGTTTTTATTAAAAGCCATAAACTAGTGAGTACGCGCAACGTAATGAACTTTCACTATTTATATTTTTCTGCCTTTTATATCTTCCCACACCAGTGAAAAATATAACACGTTGGAAAATGAAAGACGTCATAGAGAAACAAGTCCTTATTAATCGGGAGAGCAGGCATACAAAGTGTATATTAAAACCCGTGACAAGGCGATAAAAAAAATATAAAAATCGGGCTGACACATCGCAATTCCTCGCGCGGAGCTTGCCAAACTTATCATGCATAATCGCTTGTAAAAAGAACCTTCAAAATCGCGTAAGTCGAATGTGTTCGAAATCTTGTGCAGCGGGTCAAGTTCACTATATTCTGAGGCAAATTTCTGCGGCAACGAAGCCAAAAGTATGGGCGCGCCTGCCCTCTCCTAGGCTAAGCGCCGATGAAAACTTCGCGCGCCCTCTCCTCTCCTCGGACACGCCTGAGAAATTTGCACCCGAATTTAGTACTCTATTCTTATAACTGCGATTTCGGGAGTTTTTTTTACTATAAACACCAAAGGCACAAATATCACGAACCATTAAGGGCAGACACCGACTTCAAAATTATCTTTTGAACAACCCTCCTGATTGGAATTAAAGCTTTAGCAGGTACTTAAAACCAGGTAACGGGGTACTGTGCCAACTTTGATATCTCCAAGGCAGTGTTTTTAGAAGAAAAACATTTGTGTACGAAGCCGTCGCACCCTTCTCTATGAAATCTATGGCATACAAAATAAGACAATGAACCGCAATTGTTTGCTTGGATATAAAGTAGAAATGTGTAGGACTCCAAGCTATCGATTTATATTGTTAAAGCGTCAAAATATGTTAAATAAAATCTACCCACTAAATAACGAACATCCTCTTTGTATGCTGATTTGTCAGTACATTAACTTTTCTTCATAATTACTTTGAAATTTCTTCATTATTATTTAGGAGTTTCTTCATTATTACTTAGAAGTTTCTTCATTATTACTTAGAAGCCAAATAAAGTTGATGGGCCGATTTACCAGTAAATTTCAGTTTATCGATACTTGGAAAAAGACCTATGAATAGTTTTACCTTCGAGAAAAAGATTCATTCGTACAAAGTTTGTAGTAAAAATTTAAATTAAGAAACATTTATTCGAATATTGACACCCTTTTCTTCAGTAATACCTCGCAATCTGTGTCCTCTGAAATACCCAAGCAGGGTAAGTCTGTGCCTCAGCTGCCTGGTCCTTTTTGTGTCTAGAGGATTTTTCGCAGCATCCCGTTTGTTGGCCCGTTGAAACTCTATGCTGTGTGCCTTCTGTTAGTTGCTATAATTGCTCTGTGCCTTCTGCTTTGCATCTAAGATCTAATTGCACAGCCTTCTCCCAGTGGTGCACCTGGAGACTCCCAGGCTCTATATTCCCACCTCAAAGATATCCCTCCCAAAGCCCTAAACGCACAAGTAGAACTGTGAGTATGACAGCCGCTTCTACCGTTTTTTTTTAGACAAGAAGTTCGCCTTCAGACTCCACCTTTACATTGGAGGATTAAATAACTCGTTCGCATTCTGAGTCTTTATTCTGGTAGAACTCTAGAGAAGGTAATTCCACCACATATGGTTGCACAGAGGACGCAACTCCTTTGCCATTTCCAAAGAGAAGGCAGAGCTGTGTGCCGCTGCCTCCAGTGACGCATGGTGGTTTATATGGCACCATGAGTATTTTCCTTGACAGCAGGCCTAGTGCAGGGGATCTTCGTCGGTAGTGTATTATTGCAGGAGGCTACTAAACACCGTTCTCTGCATCATCTCAACTTTTTGGGGCATTCACCTTCAGTGCATTTGCAATATCCTATGTTAACGTTTTCTTGAAAGCGCTGGTCAACATACACCATCCATCGGGCTTTTTTTTTTCTTTTTTTTTTCTGTTTTTTGTTGATGCTTTTTGGACAGGGTTTGATCAATAATACAAGCATACACCGAAAGCGGAGAGGTTTCTGCTTGAAAATGGTCAATATCACAGACTGATTTTTCGTCAGAACGGCTCCGAATTGTGACTGCTGTCCAATCCAAATTATTTTCTATCGATATAAATGCTCAGTATCTGCTACAACACTTACCGGATGGATGAATTTTTAGCTTATGGCACCTAAAACAGAATTTGAACTTTTCGTTTGTATCAGAAATATTGGACTGTGTCTTCCTACTTAAGGAATCACAGGCGTGACTGCGTTTATTATATTTTGGCAGAAGAAGCGAGCGTGCGCGAAGTTTTGCCATCCCCACGTGGCTGAGCAGCGTAAAAAAGAAAGAAAACAAAAAAACGGAAAGAAAAACCAAGTCCCGCGTATTTCCTCTCTTTAACACCCCAGTAAGCGCGCTTGCTTTTCATCGCAGTGCCTTGTTTCAAGTTTTACGTTTCCTCGCTCCCTTCCTTTTGCCCCGCTGGAACTCACGTGCCCGGAAGCCCACTTCCCCGCACAACTCGGAGGGCAGGCAGCGGGCACGCACACGTCCACAACGCAGCGGTAACGACCCCATAAATAACCTCTTCACGAGAAGCGATACGCACACTGTCTTTTTATGTTTTCTTTTTTTTCATTCACACTGAAAGAGAAAAAAAAGTTTAAGGTTGCGAGTTAATTTTCGGACCTGAGCAAAGACCCCTCCCCCGGTTTCCGGCGTCTACTTTAAGCTTGCTTAAGTCCGCTGCTAAAAAAAAAAAAAAATAAAAAAAAAATAATAATAAAAAAAATGCCGGAACGCAGCTTGGTTTAGAACAGTGTAACACAGAAGCCTGAACCTGAAGACATCTGGGAGGAGCCGAACTAGAGTAATTGAGTTACGCACGAAAGAAAAGAAAAAGAAAAAGAGGGCAGCATTGGGTGTGTTTTAGTGAAGACAGGAAAATGTTACCTAGACAGTACAATGTAGCGTATTTGCCTTTCTTAATGTTCTTCCTCTCTCTTTCGCCCTCCATCCCCTCCTCCTTCTTTCCCCCTTCATAAGGTGTTTTGTTGTTCTTTTTTAGTTGTTTTTTGCACGGTACGTTTTGCCAGTGTGGATTAATGAAACAGAAAACAACCGAGAGGATTTTTTTTCTATTACGCGTATGTATTTGATTTTTTTTTCTAGCGTGAAGAGGAGGTTTGGATTTGGGTCGTGTTCCTGCCGCCACCATTAACGGCGCCAAAGACTAAAAAAAAAAAAAAAAAAGGATGTCCACTGGTCTGTCCCCATGAGGGATGCAAAAGGACTCTTTCCTTCCTCGCGAAAGCCTCAGAAAGCAGAGAGGTGTCGACAGTAACCGGATGTAGATATACACACAATAAAAAAGACTTCCGCTCCTTCCCCCCCTCCCTTTCACTCACTCACGTACGCACACACACACAAAAAGAAAGAAAAAGAGAGTTGCAGGAGGGGAGGATGTGCTCGTAGCAAGAGTGAAGCGCACTGACGTTCTGGGGATATCGTAAATCGAGGGCATAGTTTTTCCCCCGAGACCGCGAGTCCAACGCGCTGCAAACTGCATAGAGGTGGAAGCGATACTACCTACTAGGGATCTTGGGGAGAAAGGACTATTCTGCGGTGTTCATCTTTTATTTTTGTTTTCGTGACTTTTGTTTTTCTTTCTCTTGTACGTGTATCTTTTATTAGCTGTCTTTTTTACCGCTTTCTCGGTCGCTCGGTCGGCTCGCGATCGTTTATGGCGTGTTTGGTTTCGCCAATATGTTCCTTTCCGGCCTCGAATTCTGCGAGGAATGCGTTCTACGATGATGATCATGATGTTTGGCGAACAAATTTTCGTTGCGAGGCAGGATTATATAAAAGAAGAAAATTCGAAGCGCACAGAGAGTATGGAAATGAAGAGAAGCTGGGAACGAAGGAAGCTGCGTCTAAAAACATTTTAAATCTAGCATAGCGACGAAGAGGACTCACTACAGAGCGTTGCGGTTGATAGGCGTACTCGGGCAATTGCGCCCAGAGTTGTTTTTTCGCGTGCTCGTCAAGTTGCTTCGATGGTATAGTTTTGAGTTTGTCTATCTTTACCGAGCATAAACGTTTTCATACTGGATTTTTTTAAAGGGATTTACGACCGTTCGGATTTGGGTAATCTAAACAAAAGGGAAAAAGAGGATTTAAACTTCGAAATACACGAGTTAAAAAAAAAAGTATTACCATAATATTTAGGTCAAACATATAAGCAGACGTAGACCAATTTGTTCTGCCAAACGTAGTCAAGTAGTGTCGTTGGCAGCGTCAAAGCAATACAAAATATGCAAAAATGAAGACGAGAAGAAAATAAAAACACAAATCGACATTTATTTATTTTTTTTTTTTAGTAAACCATATGAACTAGATTAGACAGACCCTAATAAGAGTCTCGTAACACTAATGCGTTATAAAAGACAAGACAAGAAAAAAGGTTTCGCTAAAACGCGTTTTAAATTTCTCTTGTCTCGCGTACGAACACCACTCCGAGCCAGCCCTAATATGCTGAAATAACATTTGCAACCACCGACCTAAAGGACGAACAAGCCGCAAGAGCGGCCCTACGCGCCACAGTTGCCACCAGGCGGCAAAAGGCCCGTCCCAAAGTCGCCGAGTTTCAAGTGCACGACACTT